ATATATATATGCTGTAGCAAGTGCAGTGAGACCCCGATGATTCTTAACTCAGAATTTATGATGGAAACGTTCTTCCTAGTAAGCCCACTTTGGGTGTTCAAATAGTTATACGAATTCATAAACTTCCAGTAATTGGAGCCGCTTGACTGTAAGAACAACACATTAATCTCCAATCGAGATTATACACATAGCAAATCTAGGCACATCAAACCGTCTCTCAAGGCAATCCAATCCAGTTTGCTTATGAAGCTTCAGATATGGAGCCTGTTCTGTCAGCCAAATATATCAACTAAAATGAACAACCCTGATTCCGATGTACCACCAAGCATCCCTCAAGACAAAAAAGTACTCTCGAAGGGCCACGACCGAGCGTTCTAATTAGCAAAAGTTTGTGACTGGCTAACAATCAACCAGTCTCAGATATTTGATTTTCAAGGTAAACGTTGAAGCTTGGAAAGTCAGGAAGATCCAAAACGCTAAGCAAGTTGACTTTTGACGGATCGAAAATAGATTATTCTCACTCAACTAACCCACAGTGCAGTGTGAACAGGCACTTATGCGTGATACATCCGTGTAAATACCGCATTGACACACCCTCGTGTGCACATCTGATGTGTACTAAGACCAGTCACTGATTGTCAGACGTAGTCTTTTAGGTCGAATACTGGTAATCTGGGCAGTTAAATCTACCGGATCAAAAGTCATCAGACAAACTGGAAAGATTTGTATGGTCATGGTCAGCCTGTGGTTTCACCCGAACTAACCTCTTTATCAAATTCCTCATGCGGAACATTCGAAAGATATTATTTTGGAACTAAGATGGCCAGTAAGAAAAAGCAGTTGAAAATCACTTCTTCTATACTTCTACTTGATGGAGAACAGTAGGCATGCCTTGGCTCAAGGATACCTGACCTTGAAGAAAACATTCAGCCTCGAAATTCAGTAGGAAATCAGATTACAAGTATTCGCTTGGGGTTTTCTTAGAGTCCTATTAAGATCTATGCCATGCGGCTAATGAAATCTGAGGCAAAAGCTGTGAATTTCTGCGCATATCTATCTATCTATCTGCGCATTACTAGTCTCTAGCACCCGTGTTCGCAAGGAAATGAAATTCTGTCGCACGGGGTCGGACTAACAGGGATAAAAATGCGACACAATTCTGAAGTTCCGACGGACCAAACTGGCCTTATGGTTGGTGGTTCATTTGAACTTTACTGCTATTGACTGCTCTTCTCTACAGCGAGTGTATACCTAATGCATATCGACGGGATTTGTACTACGCAATCGAAAATGTTATAAGTAGACAGTCTTATGAAATTCATATCAAAAGTTGAAAACACAAACTCTGGGTGTAGAATGAAGGCTGTCTCGAGAAAACCGACAGACTTCTCAAAAAAGGATACAAGTCTAAATTGTCATATCTCATGGTTTTTTTAGGCACTATTTTCGCAGATTTGCCATTTTTCGTGATCGCTCACCCTTAGAAGCCCATTGTGTCTTCCATTATATCGCGAATTACAAGCATATTTCGGTATTTCACAACAATTGGATTCATTAGGAAGTTGCTGGAGATGGTAAAAGGTGTGCATTCTTGTGAGCAGATCTTTCTGCCTACGATGGTCATGGAGACACATGACCACGTTTCCAATCACCGATGTGGACTGGAAATGTACCCAAACGGATGGGTCTACAAAAGAGGCCTGGTGGAAGGTATAGCTCAAATTTTCTAATGAACAGCTGATTTACCAATTTGTGGCCGGTAAAACTGCATCAGCAGCAATTCCGTTTGAACCTGTTCCAGCAAAACATCCCACACCTATGTGTTTTTACGTGGTTGCCCTTCGTAATACTGTACAACTCGAAATGGTGAAATCCAGTAAGGTGCACGAACACATGCCCAACTTTCATTTCAGAAATCTGACGGTTACATATCCTCCTTCGGTATTTAACTAGTCATTCTTGAAACTGAATTCATTAACAACTATGATTAATTTAATTTGGACTTTAATTTTTTGGACTCCTAGAGTGTGATAAACTCCCACAGATGCAAGAATTGAACTCCTTTCCGTCTATCTGTACTGGAATTCTGGTTATAGCCAGAAAGTCATTACACATCCAAACAATCTTCTGGTGATTTGGTGGCTCATCACAGTTGACTGAAAAAATACAGCCAACGCTATGAATGAATGATAGCAACCCAGCACTGAGTAAAAATGACCTCAACATCTGCAGGCATGCACAACCATACCGTAATCATACAGAAATCACACAAGTTTCTTGCACTTTTGCGGTACAGTTGAACTACTGCTGGTATAAGCAGTAGACAGAAATTCAATTTGGGGGCTCGTTGACTCAGCACAAAACGCGAAACTGTTGCTGCAGTACGTTTATACTGTTCGCTTTCATTGAGTATGGTCCTTTGTGGATTTGTACGCTCGTCCAGATGCGACTGCTTATCATAAGTAGCAAAAGCACAGATTTTTGAAATGTTCAACGCTAGTGACTCGTGATAAGGATGACAGAACTCCATAGTTCAAATCGACCGTTCAACACCGAATGACTTCACTTTAGGCCTACATCTCGAATAACGTACGAATCGACAATGGGATGTTGGTAAACAGTCTTTTCATTATGTCCTAACTTGAATACAGTGGACACAGTGTCCACTGGTGTCCTGCTAACGGTTAGGACTGATCTCCCAGTTTGTAAACTTGTCATCATCCGACTGTGAAGTGATCTCTTAACTGAATTATATATACTCACTTTAGTTGGGCCTCTTGTGTAGCAGGTCTATAATCTCTACCGGGAGAGCATGCATTTTCGCACTTTGCTACGCTCATCAGACATTCTCATATTGTATAACATACATAGTCCCAAAGGTGGGTGATATTCAGGTTTTGTTGACATTCTGGATAGATGGTAAAATTGTTCCACAAAATCGGCTGTTCCTTTTGCTGCAAACTACAGTAATAATATCGGAGCAGGCAGAAATTTTGGTACAACACTGTCGACAAAGTTAGTAGAATTTCGACACTGCGTCAGTTGCCATTTATAGCGACTTTAGGGCATCAATAAGGAAACCTGCGCATCACAATGAACTGAAAAGTTAATGGAAGAACATTATTTACAGGTATTTTTGTTCATACCTTTCCTTGAGCAATAAAAGGCAGGCGCACTTACGCATCGATCAGTCCTTAAGTTCAAACGAGATGCTTCAAATCACGTGAAACCCACCGTTCTTTTATTCCGTGAGTCTCAATTTTGGTGAAACAACGGTTGACGTAAACATGCTGACAAAAAGGCTGAGTGCGCACCTAAAGTAAGTACAGAAGCCTTGTAAACAGTGGAACAGATTGCATGTCCCGCACCTAGCAAGATCGGATTCCATGATACAAATCTTTGGAGATTCGGATTTAACCAGTGATATGGAGAAAATCGAAAATTTGGTACATGAACAGGTTAGTGAACTAGCAGGCAGCCACCGGTTTTGCGTCTTGAACTATGTTAGTTTATCACAACATTTCATGCCAACACTAAGTGTACATTGATCTGAGTTTTGGCCCTGACTGGGAAATGAAAAATGCTTTTGTTTAAAAGAGGAGCACAGTCAATACCAGGACTTTAGTGATTAGCTGAGGTTTATGTAACCTCCACCCCTCCGGAACAGCTTTCCATTTTGTTTGGTTTCGACGAAATGAAGCTGTTTCTCAGAAGGAGTTGCGTTGCAAGAAAGCGATTTTATTCATAAAAATTAAGTGTGCGACTCCTTCCGCTGGTAGAAATTTCATGGCGAGGTGACAGTATGTGCTCGGGTATCAAAAAGATATTTTACCAAACTGTCACCCAAAATTAGTGCTTTGTTGTAAAGAAAAACACTTTTTCAGGAAGTAATTCTCACATCAAAAGTGCTGCTGCTCACTTTCGGCTACCAATCCAAAACCCAGAACCTTCGTAATTTTTGGAGATTTTTTTGAATTTCCAAAACTTATGAATCTGTTGATAGTAAAAACTATGCACAAAACACAATGTGATTCGTCTGGAGTCTATGCGGTCTATGCCCTGCTCTATAACTACCATCTATAAAATCAAGTCATGTGGACTTGATAAGTAGCCGGCTCCACTGAAGATCACGAAAACTAGCCTCAACTATTCATGTTTCCTTGTATATTCCCACGGACAGGCCAAGCCCACAAAACGCTTCAGGTGATTGCCACCATTTATGAAGATACGAGGAAAGGTCCGTGTGCCGATTTCCGCAGCTTTGTACTGCTGATTTTAATCTGAGGTGAATTCAGACTGAAAACTCAGCTCAGTCTACCAGCTATAAATCGTGCGCCATAGGCACATTGGTTCCAGCTGCTGCAGTTCCGATCTCCGGAAAACGGGAAAGTGGAATACAAAACCAAGGCATGCTCAGTTTGTTCGGAAATTCGGTAGCTACGCATTGAAGGCGATAGGTTTGATGCGCAAGCGCAATTGACTGCGCGCTTGGGCCATTTCCGCCTCCAGCTGCTCAGTTCCGATCTCCGGAAAACGGGAAAGTGGAATACAAAACCAAGGCATGCTCAGTTTGTTCGGAAATTCGGTAGCTACGCATTGAAGGCGATAGGTTTGATGCGCAAGCGCAATTGACTGCGCGCTTGGGCCATTTCCGCCAATGTCAGCAACCACTGGTGATTTGGGTCCCGAGGTCCCTAACCAGGGAGGCGATAGTTGTCCATCAGACTTAGTTTAGTGACTAGTGTTCTCGTACTTCGTTGCCAGGCCATACATTGTCCACCTTTCGGTCGCTTCCACTCAGCACAGGGCTGGGCGGAAAGAGCTCTGCAAGGCAGACGACCTTCTGGCATGCAAAGTACATGACCCAACCAGCGCAGCCTATGAAGCGCGAGTAATTCATTTATTGCGGGAGAGTTCCTTCTTCCTAAGGCCATTCGGCGTACTTCAGCATTACTAATGAGAGGTTCCCACCAGACCTGACCAATGCTTCGGAGACAACGAAGATCAAACACTGGCATCTTCCGTAGGACCCAAGTTTCTGATCCATAAAGCAGTATGGATTGCACCACCGCGGTGTAAACTCTCCCCCTTGACAGTAGAAGTAGGTGCTCCTCTTCTAAGCACATTCAAAACAAAACTCAACCTATCGCACACGTGTCCCCTGACGCTGTATTTTACATCTTGGGTTTGGAGCTGCTTTATAGGCGCCAGAAGTTTTATGTTCGATCTAGGCAAGACAGATTTAAAGTTGGATCACCAGAAAGGTTATAGGCTACACAAAACCCTAATTTCATCCAAAAAACCTTTCAGTGGCTTACTAATTGATGAGCTGGGAATCTATCGAGTAGTAAAAGACAACACGGCAGATGCATTTCCGTGCGTTTTTCTGGAAGACAATAGACAGCTTCTTTTTTAGGAAGAATAAAATATTCAACACTGAGTCTTCACTTACGGATAACGCGGTTTTTAATTTAAACAAGAAACAGACTGTAAACTGACTCCATTTTCGTCGCAACCTGATAGTTTGGTTAACGGTGAGGTGCTTAATAGCTAGTTCAGGAGGAGTGCGTCAGAAATTGTAGCTGTCTTTGAGAAAATATTGTAAATTCCAAAATATGCAGTGGGCCAAAATCGCAATGGCACTGGTCACTTATTCTGATAACGGTTCATTACTGGGATTCAGTTCAACCACAAACCAGAAATGTAGGAGGCAGAATGCTAGTCAGCAAGTTCTGATAACGGTGCATTACTGAGATTCAGTTCAGCCACAAACCAGAAATGTAGGAGGCAGAATGACAGGATAATTAATTATCAGAGTTATGCCTTCAAAAGATATCGTAGCTAAAGTTTTATTCAGTATCATCCATTCCTCATGTCTCCGTGAATTATGCTAAGTATCAAGTGTGATTTATCTTTGATAGCAGTAGTGTGTGTTTGCGAACTGTTCTGTATATGTCACCTGCGTCCATCGCCTGGTATTACTTTGGCGATTTCTAGTCTCAGCGAGTTGAACCCAAGCACTTCTCCCTTATAGATTCTGTGAAATGCCCCATGATGACTAGCTTGTAATATCTGCAATGAAATGTTGTGGTGACTTTTCTACTCAACAGGCCGAGCGCATAACAAAAGGACCTGAAACGGAGGAACATCCTGACATGTTTGACAATGAACTCGTGTCGAACAGAACTAGTATGTAAGTGCATGCAGAGGCAACACCGAAGTGGAATAACAATTTGATATTGAGCCTGTTGTATCGTTTATATCCAAGAAAACGAACACTATATACGTACACCTTCAAAGAGCACGCGCTTTTGGGATAGACTAAAATTGCTTTATTCTTGAAGGCGTACTATGTTTGGGGGGAAAAGCGTTTGAATCTATAGTCACAAACTCTACGTGGTTTTCCCGTATCTAGACAGGAGAAACAAACATGTTATCTTACTGATTGCCTTGAAGTAAAAATCATTAATAATTACGATCCAATAAAAGATTAATCCACGATGAGAGTGTAGCTGTTTCAAAGTTGACAATACTTTCTTTGGGTAATATCTAGCACAGGAAAGATAAGAAGTGAATATTGAGTGTTATCGGCATCACCATCGCCAGCTGTAATAACCGCGTACTTGTCGTACAGTCGTAACTGCCACAATTAAGTTCACCGATGATTCCGGGAGGTGGGGTAGGTTGCTGTGCATTGGAGGCGAGAGCTGATAAATTAGTGCGTAAATAAAGCACTGTAGGTGTATTGTTAAGTGAGGGGATTGGGAGGCGAGCTATGCATAGCACTCCACTAATGCTAACCCATCTTTACTTTCTGGTTCTGCTGAGGAGTGCTCCTTCGATGCATGTACTGCAGCGTGCTCCGTCTTCAGTCACTTGATTTTTTTCGTATATAATGTAGGCTCACACTAGTTTGGAGAACAGAATAATTTTCCTTTCACTCTTCTTTCAGTGAGATTAAATCCGTTTGCACAGGGTTATTGTGTGGGAATTACATGATGGTGGGTCATTTGCTCACTTTGTTGACTGGGATGCTCCTCATCATTGTTTCAGCCAAAAACCGCATTTTGTACAGTTGAATACTCTGACATGATTTGAAAATACAATAATGAAACACCATTTTCAAACAGTATGATGCAGATCAAAAGGTATAGCAGTTTATGCCAAAAATTGGCTCAAGCACCACCTTCTATAGACCGGTTTCAACGATTGAATGAATTCTGCATCAACTAGCAGTCCTCTGGACATAGTTTTAGAGTACAGAATATGCAGTTTGACTCTGTCAATTTAGTTTGCACTTAGATTGCATTTCCATCATAAAATAACACTCCTTTAACTGATCACTTTGTTTATTCGAAGGAACCAAACTCAGAAAAGTGTCCTAAGTCGTTGGGTATTTTTTGTTTTGCATTGCACAATAGTTTGGTTTGCGTTGAAGCTGTTGAAAAACTGTGGTGGTACACTTTTACCCAAAACGAACAGTGGCAACTTTTCTATAGTAGAATCAGACGTTATCATCCTCTTCGTTCCTGCAGAAAGATGCCATCCAAATGAGGATAGCTTTGAAGTAAACGTACGCTTCTGTAGGATCGTAAGCGCATCTTGTTTCTATCCTGCAGTTTACAGAGGTTGCGCTCTGTCGCTCTTTGGTTTGCTATTCACAGAACAAGAAACTATGTCAAAACCCTTGTGAAAACCTACTCCGTCGCCCTCTATATGACTTTGCGCAACGACTTACATTGTGTTTTCTTGTAAAGCGGCGTTTTCCAAAACAGTTTGAAAATCTACTCAAAGAATACGACGCTGATGTCTCTAAATGCACTCCTTCTGACATCCAAGTTGTTCCCGATGCCATAAAATCCGGAATTCCACCAGTGGTGTGCGTTGCCCCTGGTTACATTGTGAGCTGTCTTTAACTGGTCTGAAAGTCAACGAATATAGGACTACTCACTTATTTATTGTTCTTCTAATCAATCACCCATATTTTTTCGACATTGGTTTTGAACACCGATGTCATGCTGTCGATGATGATGATGATGATGATGATGATGATGATGATGATGATGATGAAGATGAGTGTTCTTCCAACTAATAAAGATGACGGGGTTAGCGTTGAAAGTGAGGACAAAGAAACAGGTGGTCTTGCTTCACGAGCAACACCACTGTGTATCCGTCACTGAGCAACATACCTCAAGTTATCGAGTGTCAGCCAGAAAACTGATTACGAACTCAAACAGATTCAAACATGGATGAATGACTGCTACCGTCGAATTCGTCACTTCAGATATGCTTAGCAGATATCTCTGCTTTGTAACACAGCAGTTTATGGATATCAGACAGCCACTGACAGTTGTGCTTTATGTTGATCGGTGATCAGTAGTGAGTGGTTCGGAGTCCCTTAGATAGTGGTCTTGCATGTATTCGTTGGCACCAGCTAACCTACATGACATTCGGCAAGGTCGCTGCAATGATCAACCGCATGTCCCTTATTTTGCCCCCCCCCAAAAAAAAAATAGTTAAATCGCATTTTTTCCTTATAAAACTGGCATACGCGTCAAATTTCTTTCCACCAGAGACAGTACACTCAGGTTTTCTGGAAATCATCCCCTGGTAAGCACAATCCTGCAATTTTTGGGTTGGTGTAGTGCACTATTATCTTGCGGATCAGCTCCTAAGTCAGGTTATCATGGTGGTTGCGGATCAGCTCCTAAGTCAGGTTATCAAAGGGGTAACTAATGCGCAAAAATGACTCACCGGAGCTTAGAATTCTTGCTCTTGATTTCAACGGTGAAGCAAAGTGAAGTCGTCTGATGCTAAACTATGAACAACCTGCATGGAAATTTCACGAACTTTTAACAAATGAGACTTGGTTTGAACAGTAATAAAATTTAGGATGTGGTTTACTACCAACTGACAAAGTTGCTCTCACAAAGAAAGATGATTTTTTACAAATTATTTCATAATGAGGTTGACATGCTTATCTGACAATTTCCCTTGAAGAGATCTGTGTGACTCGGACGAGGCATTGCCGAAATTGCTTAGGGTTCGTCTTTTTATAAAATCGATTCCGAACTTTATAAACTGTATTTTTTAATCCCACATATGCTCCAAATCACCGAAATCCAGAACAAGCACAACTTTCAGTAACTTTAGCCCTAGACAAAGCCTGCTACCAAAAGCCAGAGAAAGCAGCGCTGTTCGGTCTGATCGATTGAATCTACTCAACATGGGTTTGGGTCGAGGACGAAAGGTTCAGCTACGCTTACAGCAAACCAGCCAAATCCATCGATCCGTAAGTCTCTGTTACATGAGTTGTCGTTTGGTTCACTTGGTTTCTTCGGTTATTTTCTTACTCGAAACTAGGTAGAACTTTAACCAATCGAGATGCCTGTCGAGCACTTAGTGTGCTGGGCTGTAGATGAAACCACCCTGACTAACAAATACCGTTGGAAATAAGTTCGGCTAAACAACATGACAATTCAGAAAACTAACGCGGTCCCTCTTCTAATTCTCTTAAAGGTAATCTGCTTTGATTTCTATCCAGGTTATACGAGCCAACTTTCGTTCAAACTAATCGGATTGTTTGCTGATTGTCAAATTTCCTTAAGATTGTGTTCTAGTGATTGTAAACGAGCTTTGTCCTTAGAAATCCGACAAATATTAGTGTCGAAATCAAAGACCGGTCGGAGAATGCTATGAACAGCTCATAGATAATATAGGGTTTCTGTCCGCTAAATATAAACGATTTTCGATTGGAAAATATGTTTTTTGGAGTTAATAATCCGAAACACTAGTGGATTGATCTAGTAGCCTTGAGCAAGCTAGTTTTGAGGAACACTGGGGGAAGTATCTCACAGATGATCACAGCCTATCTGCAAGTATTTTTGATAATCCCTAAGCCTCAGGGTCCACATCCACGAGAGACGCAATTGCTAATGTGACTAAGATTGTTGATCATCACATTCGTGCTTCAGTGCTTCAATGGATCTTATAATGTGGTGTTCAAGCGTGGCAATCTACTGGCACGTGGCTGAGAAAAATTGGTTACTTCGAAAATCTGGTCAACTGGTTCTAATGGAACAATGAAGTGTGACCAGCTAGTCTATCATTTGTGAGTAACTCTAATTAGACCTTCGACACATTGCAGTTTTTCCAACCTGAAATTCCTATAACACAGCACCAAGTTACCTGGGGCACCCAGACTTCCGGCCGTATGTTGATATGGCGCTTGCCGCACCCCACGCCCACAACAGGCTAGTTTACATTTCATTGGCGTTTTTTGTAGGGATGACTGGTATAACCCGGAGAAATTATGATTACTAGAAGTTTGCGCAGCCAACCAAGTAGTCGGTTGGTCAGGAAGTTGTGGTCAGTCATTCTGACTGTTCACACTGTAGGATACCGCAGTCTTTTCTTTCAAGAACCGTCACAGGCTGCAATAAGGAGACTTTCGTGACAGAATGTGATCTTCACTGCTTTCCAAACCGGACAAACTATTCTTGCACCACAAAACGATTAGAATTCGAAGAATGCCCAGACAGCCAAAATGACTGGATTATCTTCCACAGACCATGCGAATCACTTAGTCGTCGCGAAAACTCTGGGTCATTCTCCACCAACACAGCGATTTTGTTAGATGCGATTATGTCCACACGCACATCCAAAACGCACATTTCTTTCAATTTTACGCTTAATATTCTTGCGATCGTTCGTAAATTTTTCATGAGGTGAGCTTCTAGGTGTAGACTACTGATTTGTTCAGGCCATCTGACTACTATGAGTGGTGAGATGTTTTTGACGTCAATACTCCACTGAATATCTCAGTCAAGACTCGCTTCTACATTACAGGTCAAGTTACTGCCACAGTATTAGAGACCCGAAATTTATTCAGAAAGTAAAGTACGGCGCGAGGCTGGTACTATCAATTGAACATAATAGACACCAGTGGACAATCATTGTGTGCTTTCTTCAAGTTGGTCATGATGAAAAGACTGTTTTCCAACATCCCATTGTCGATTCGTACGTTATTCGAGATGTAGGCCTAAAGTGAAGTCATTCGGTGTTGAACGGTCGATTTGAACTATGGAGTTCTGTCATCCTTATCACGAGTCACTAGCGTTGAACATTTCAAAAATCTGTGCTTTTGCTACTTATGATAAGCAGTCGCATCTGGACGAGCGTACAAATCCACAAAGGACCATACTCAATGAAAGCGAACAGTATAAACGTACTGCAGCAACAGTTTCGCGTTTTGTGCTGAGTCAACGAGCCCCCAAATTGAATTTCTGTCTACTGCTTATACCAGCAGTAGTTCAACTGTACCGCAAAAGTGCAAGAAACTTGTGTGATTTCTGTATGATTACGGTATGGTTGCGCATGCCTGCAGATTTTGAAGTCGTTTTTACTCAGTGCATGGTGATTAGTATCTTACTTGGTTTGCTGACATCCATTCACTGAGTTGGCTGTATTCTTTCAGTCAACTGTGATGCGCCATCGAAACATTAGAAGACTGTTTGAATGGAATGTGTGTAGTAATTTCCTTGCTATAACCAGTATTCCACTGCGGATGGCCGGAATATATTTCAAAGTTTGTGTCCTTTTGACTTTATCACACTCTAGAAGTCCAAAAAAACTTAAGTTCAAACTAAAGTTCTCATAGATGATAATGAAGCCAGATTAAATGCTGAAGGAGGATATGTAACCGTCATATTTCTGAAATGGAAGTTGGGTCTGTGTTAGTGCAGCTTAGTACATTCTACTCATCACGAGCCGTTCGCGGTACCTATACCTCCAGACACTCATTCAGGCAATCTGGATAAAAACTGACAAGTGCAGCGCTACTGGAAATAGTTGGTACCACATCCTGCTGTGTCCCCAACCAGGCGCAGGGGGGGGGCAACGCGGTCTCCATCCTGGAAGGCGAGCAGAACCGACAGTACCCAAACGTTCCGAAATTCCTTTCATACACCTTTACCAGGTCAAGGGCTGGCAACCTCTCTGTTTCCGCCACTCTGAGTTGGGCATGAAAAACAACACTCTCTTCGGCAAAAGATGGATAGGCATACGCAACGCATATCCCAACCAACGCAGCTTCTGGTGCTGGAGACGTTCTTCAATGGAAGTCCCCGCTGCACAACCGAAAACGTATTTTGTAATTGCCTCAATACGGATTCATCGACACCAACCTACACAAGTGACAGCGATTGTCTAACTCCTGAAGTCGCCTCAGTTTCGCTGTTCGAACAAACCAAGCCTCACGGTCATACAACAAAACGGCCCGCTCTGTGGCATGATACGCGCGTCCCTTGATATTCAGGGATAGATCACTTTAATGCCATAGGCGCCTCTAATTAGCAGACGCGACCCGAGCCTTGCGGATTCGTGCATTGACTTCATCTGTCGCACTAGAATGAAAACTATTACAACGTACAAGATACGTAAAACGCTCCGCTGGATTGTAAGTGGCTTGTTCAGTGACTGTATGTCCACGGGCATGACCTCACTCTTTGTGGGTGCATAGTGCACATCAAAGGATGGGATGACTTTGGTTGTTCATAAAACACCTGCACCTTCTCTTCCTTCTCGAAGATGAGAACGATTTCATCTGCATATTCCAGATCGACAAGGCTTTCGTCACAGGCTATTTAAACACTAGGATTTTGGAGACTTTCCAGCACTCGTCTCATGATTTTATCTATCATGAAGTTGAATAGGAACAGAGGAATTGGGCATCCCTGACGGACACCACCTTGTGTACGAAACCTTTTGGAGAGCTTGCCGTATACTCTCCAGACCCGGAACTTTGATAAGACAAAAAGATTATTATGCTCACGAACTTGTGGGGCATTCCTTGGTGGGGAATTGCGTCAAACAGAACAGACCGGTCAACCGAGTCGAGTGTGCCTTGGAAATCCAGGATCAATGCAATTGTGGATCACTTATATGTACGACGTTCTTCTAGCACCTGACGGAGTTTGAAGATTTGGTCAACGCAACCTCTACCAAGCCGGAATCCCGCTTGCTGCTCTCGGGTTAGCGTCTCACCGGCCACCGTAAAGCTAGGAAACATAAACGACGCCAAAAGTGTCGTTACGACCAGGTGAAAGCATATATTGGACACGCATTTTTTGGGCAAACCCGATCTGGTATACCGTCGATAAAACACAGTTATGGCCGTTAAATATGTGAAACTAAGTGCATGCAAGATAGTTTCATTGGCTCTACCCTTGCTATGGATCACTGAACAGATATTAGAAGCACTAGCTTATTTCATCCATCTCTGTGGCTAATGTACTGCTAAACCCACATTCAACCTCATGTAAGATGAAAACTTCTTAGCCTGATACTCCTAATCGCTATACAGGTCTTTTTACTTTTGTTCTGCAACCTGGCTCTACCAAACTGAGCTTGGGCAAACCACCTTCGGCGAGAATTCAGCCGACAGATCTACCACTTTGTAGACCTCCGTTCAAAGTCCGACTAGGTCGCTGGCTTTTAATATGTGAGGTTAGTTTCGAATCAAACCATCCGTCGTATTGAGAAAGGAGACTGGGTGGAGAAGCTGTGCATGCACTCTTTCAACCCACAGGCATGCAAATCATTGGAGAAGGGGCTGAGGTGGCATGGTGTGAGCACGTTTTCCGTGATATGTGCAAAGCAAGTTACGGCTAATTGCTTCTAGGATATGACGAGGTTTTTGGACTATCGGAGCAAACAAAAAGCAACGATAATTGGGTCTAATTAGCCCGCTAAATTTTCTTTCCCTTCAGATGAATCATGAGTGATGGTCACCTTGAATGAGACGCATTCGCTTGCTTGATGGCGATCGGCGAGTCCAACTTTAGGTATTTGATCACTGCAGCAAATATAGTAGTCGAGGCCTCGAGTGACCACAGATTTTACTCCGGTTAGTCAGTTTCGTGAGACGTCCAGAGTTGAGGCCAACAAACTAACCGACAGAAGCTAAGTTGTACACGAGGCCCTGACCCATCTGTGGTGGCGCTGCTGAGTAAAATTATGAAATGACAATGCGATCCTGATGAGCATTAGTCCTCCGAGAAAAAGGAACAGAGAAGCATTTAACTGACGTGATAATAGATGACGACGCTGTACAGTGTGAAAAAGCAAACCCTGGGGATGTTTCTGCTTCAGAGACTTAGTTGCCGATTAAAGTCGCAAGTTCAGTGGCTGGATGTGGCATTGAATAATTGCTATCAACACATTCGTGTACAACAGTTTCAAATCAAGAAACAGGAAACCCATACAGCTATAGAAAATCTCCGATAGCCGATTACCCGTTTCGTCTATTTTGAGGCAAATCAATTGAAGGGATTCCACGAGGCTCCATCAACCTTATTTTCTATGTGAACATCAGATGGTACACAAGTAGTGAACCACATTAGGATATCTCAATTATCGTGCCAGCCGAACAATAAGGCCTTTGTGCAGCATATCCACATGAAGAATATCACAGACAAGAGATTCAAGTGGACCTCGGTTTACACTGCTGACACTAAATTACTTTGCAAATAAGTGTAGCTCCACCCACGTTCTCAATACCGTAAGGCCTGCTGATGAGTGGTTTTGCTTGACATTGGCATCTACGGCAAACGTACACAATGGGTGTACTGCACGCATCTAAAATGAAGATACATTTTGCTAAGGACAAATGCACTGTCACCTTCAATTGGATCTGTCTTCAGTGGACAAGAGCCTCATATCCCTCATATTGCGCACACCATTCCACCCCAAACGCTTTCCCAGCGATTTGCACGCCTGTTGGTTTCTCACAGAAAGCATGCACAGTTTCGCCGCCCCGTCTCCTTTCTCACTACGGTTTATTCCATATTAAGAGCCAGTGACCTATTTGGACTCCGAACGGAGGTCGACAAACTGGTAGATCTATCGGCTGAATTATCGCCGAACGTGGTTTGCCCAAGTCCGGTGTGGTAATGCCAGAAAAGAGCATGGCCTCCATTTCGTTTTCACACCATGAGCATTACCAACTGCTAGATTGACAGTGTAACCTGATGACAGTATCCAATAAAAATCATGCCACGAAATTGCACGTACTCAAGCATTCTGCCAAGGATGTGTTCTGTTCTTCGTCTGTTGTAATTCTTTTACCGAAAGTTAATATTTCACATCATCCCATTCATCCAGACGAGTGTGCAGTTGATGTGTATTAACCGCTTGATGGTCCGATATCCATCATGCAACCATGTTTCTGTATTACAAACGCGTGACTGTGCTATTAAGCTCCAAAAACGTGAGAATAAAGAATGACACGCACGGGACAGATATCGGTAGTTTTAGCTAATATTATTGAAACATAGTAGTAATGATCAATATGCGCCTGTATGCTGATCACCGATGACAGTCATTTTTGTGCTCGACTACTTAGATGCGCAAGGTGTTTGCTGTATACATCGTTTGAATGAAGAAAAGCCCAGATCAACAAGCATGTGAAAGCAATAGGTCGTTTGTGGGACCAATAGTAGTCTACAGTTTGGTCAAATCCGGTCGTCCAACGAACGGGAAAATTGCAGAGCATTGTCTGAGACCGACATCTGCTGTTCAGTTCAGTTTGCTTTTGTGTCGCTTCATTGCCCCGACTAATTCACACCCCTGGCTATCACTACTTTTTCGCAACAGACTGCAGCAAACTCTAAACGTGCACAAAATTACGAAGGTGGAACATTTCTGACCGATGACCCCATGCTGGATGACATGGAACTGACGCTGTTTCCAGTAAGTTACGCAATCCACAACTTAGTTCGGTATCTTTGCCAAAGCCAGCAATTTATCATGGAAGTTGTTCATTTCAGACTGGCTTTGTAAATCTCCTCCGTAGATGAAGCCCTAATGTATCGACTAAAGATCGTTTTCTTGACGAACTGCTTGTGATTCCGATGGATTAGGAGGGTTGCCTCTACCCCACTTTACAACAACATTATCATTTGCTATGACAATCGCAAAAAGTTCGTTAACTGAAGTAACAACCTTGTTTTAAATTGGAATGGATGAATGCCTTTCGCTACTCTTTTTTACAGGGGTAACCCACCTGTCGGAAGGTGCCTCCATTGGAAAGAGTAGCGATCCCTGCATATGAAACCTCTATGATCAGCGTATATATATATACATCGCAAGTGGCCAATAGGCTGCATAACAATTTCATTTAATGGTGAAAGCATAGAGCATTTGTAAATGGCGTTATCACCTTGGTTACTTACATTACCGACATTTTGAATCTTTTTCGAGTAGCCACAGAGTGTTGTCGTACTAATGATAAACTGGAGGAATGTCAGGAATTACACAGACCAGCAGTGGCATCAGCTTCAGTAAAAAAACCCAGTGTGCAAATCAGGAACGAAGGTGCTTCAAATCGATTTTTACGATAACAACCAGTCTTTAAATGTTTCGTTTGACAGGGATTCTCGGTGTAATATAGCTAGGCGCTGTAAATTTACAGACTTGCTCCTTCTTGTATGGCCGGTACGCAGACAGTCAACCAAGACAAGAAATTGAGCAGTGTTAGGGCACTTTAAACTCGTAACCCAACACTGCTGGGCAGGAAAATATAAAACTTCTCAGAGATGTTCATATTTCGCTTACATCATTGTCAACGCTACTTTTGTTGTCCATGTCAAAGACGGTTATTTTTAGTTGTCATGGAATGAGCAACTTTATTTAGCACGGCATACGTCTATCACGGTATCCATAATCCGTTGTACGGAGCCATAAGGTCACGCTAGTCCTTCTACATGATGTTTGCTTTGTATAACAAATCTTAAGAGGTAAACTGAGCACAGATACAAATATCACATAGTAGTTTGTGCACTCTTTCGTTCTTTCGCGCTGCCTCCCGGAAGGATAGGACTGCCTGTGTACTAGGTGTCCATATCCATCTGTGGTGACTTTATTGAAAACCAGCACATACCTCTCATGTGTCCCGATCAATTCTACTGGCTGAAACCCTCGTTTTCACATGAATTATCTGAGTGAGTTTAATATGCGGGATATCAGAATAAGGATGAATAAATGAAGTGGTATCAAGTGCAATCTCAGTGATCCCGATCTTGGATACAACATTTAATTGCGTCCATGGAATGAAATGTCCGGATTATATTGGTAAAGCCTTCGTTCATATCTAAATTTCAGGATGATTCGCTGGATTACAAAGCCCAGAGAGGAGTGACAGGAGTGTTCGACTACAAAGGAGACAAAGCATACCAATACGAACAGGTAAATGCCTATTGTTTTGCTTTATTGTTTATGATGTATTGACCTCGACAGCCCACATGTCGTTTCATTGTACCTAAGTTAAAAATGTTAGTTTATCAACAGTGACCCCGATTGACTGAAAGAGCCACAGAGAATTCCATTACTTACGGACGATAATAAAACAGACTGAATAAAACCGACAAGAAGGGGCTGGACTGCCCAGTAAGTGGGTCAATCTAGACTACCTCTAGCTTCTTATCAGCGACATCTCTGAGAGAGGTGCTTGTCTTGTCAACACCAGCGCTTGTGTTTGTCGAAGTATATTAGTCTTAATTCGCGTGCTAACTTAGCAAGTACTAATACCGTTCCGTGAAAGTGCATTTGTCGGTTGAGTGTGGACGAAACTAAACGCGACGTTGACCTACTGATTTTTACTCAGACAGAAATCGCGTGTCAGTTCCCATTATTATTTCGTTTATGACGCTTGCTCCTGTTCCACGTTACTGATTCAGGCTTGTCTTGTGGTGTGTGATGGGGAATTTCACTCTTTGAGCTATTTACATATTCACTCACTTATTTTTGGGAGATAGAAACATTATGCTTCGAAAAATTTTCAGGTATACGCTGCTCAGGCACTGTGAATGGCTGTCAGATATACGCAACTAGAATATCAATATCGGCTTCAGTGAAGGACTGCTCAGACCGCATGGAGATCGGTCTGCTGCTTGTTCTTCTTCACCGTACTCAACCATGTTTTCAGTTATCTTCCGAAGCAACATCGTCACCCTCGACAATATGTTGCTCAGACCATTGCTGCGGCCATCCTCGAAGGGCGTGAAAGTGTAGATCATGAAACATCTTTATCAATGTACTTTCAGGTGTCGCACTTTTAGATTAACCTCTCATCGGCCAGTCTTCAGCTTCTGCGCATTACCTGCATTGGACTCTATGAATACACAATTTACTTTATGACTTCGGTTGAATCTCTTCTTCCGTGAATCCGTTTTCTAGGTCAGAACACTAAGACGATAGCAAAATACACCATTCTAATACGAAAATCTGTGGACAATCCTGGCCACAATACACCTCAGAAATAAACTGGCGAAATAACGTGACAAGTATCATTAGATGTGAATGTTCCCATGGAGGAATCGGAATCCTATTACAGTGTGCTACAGTGGTGCTTATTCACATACGATTGTCTGGGAACGACATATATCGGAAACTCTTTGCAAGAACACTGAGACATTTCATGAAGGAAACTAATCACATGGTTGCTGAAAATTCTCCGACAGCCGATGATCAGCTTTGCTCTTCTCGATGGTAGCCTGTTGATTGCAGATCCCAAGTTTCTATCAACCTTGTTTCACTAGAACCTAAATTCGACAGATATGCATATTAGAGTGCCAATTTGGTTTTCTCTGGAGACTCACCTGAATCCCAGCGAAAGTTCTCGTTTATGGTATTTTCCACCTGAATGGGCTGCACAAAGACCGCCTCATGCTTTACTTTCCTTCATGAAAAATATCTTACCAACTGTAACATGAGGCGGTCTTTGTGCGGCACATTCAGTTGCGAATGACCATAAACGACAGTTTCGGCTGGTATTAAGGTGAATCTCCGGTCAAGACCACATTTGTACGCAAACGAGTGTCGAAGACCGAATCCTCGTGGTGTTCCTCTGAAATCGTTCGAACAAATTCGCAATAACTGAGGTGACTTGGTGCACCTAGCAACACAATGTGCGATACCATATCCTAAAACCAGGTGTTAGCTGCGTTTCCGCAACACCGCTACGCTCTGAATCTAGACTAGCCTGTGGCCCTGACCATGGAATCTACGCACAGAGAAAGATCATGGAGACCCGTTGCAGTCACAAGCCACTTAATGGATTGGGTGCATCCGTATGATGCCAAGATTTACCATAGCTGATTAAACGTAACCGTGTGTGACGTTTCCAATGTATGTACTGAAAACCAACATCATTTGGATCAATCAAGAAAACAAAGGCCACCTCTGGTTTGCATAGCGTTCACTTGGCAAATACAGAGTTATCCTACAAAGGGAAAGGGCGTGCGAATCTGAAGCCAGTAGTATTTCCATGATCTTGTCCTACACACCTTATCCGGCATAAGTAAATTCGTTCTCTCAGTCACGCCAAGACGGTCTAGCGACTGCAATGTTCTTCGGACCACTCAGCTGTTATTTTTTACAGCCACCGCTTGCGTGAGTTTTTGAACAGTTAGATTGATTAATGGAAGGAACATCTAGAGCAATTTTATATCCTTTCAGCTACCGAAGACTTTGCAGTAGATGAAAGAACCCACCAGTATTTAGACTGTCCGAAAAGCTGGGGAGCCGTAAACTTCACCTCAATTTGTCCAGCAAATAGTGCTGGTTGAGAAAGATAACTCTTTGTGTAACTAACAGATTGGTACCTTGCATGCAGCACCTGATCCCATGCACGTGTGGTCAACTGTGAGCTTTTGTTAGATACGTCAACTTTTCAGCGATGAGCGGAAATGTGGGGTACAAATATTCACTCGGATAAGTCTTTCGAAAAATGGACTCTCTGGAAAGACTTTACATGGAAAAGCTTGGTAGCCCAATCGTTTTCTTTCAGTTTCCTGCAAAAGATTCTGGTCTAAATCCCGCCTCGTACGATGACTCAGTAGAGCCTTGTTTCTTTAAGCATTGTGACGAGATAATTTTCTCCGCTACGAACCGTGTGCCATAGGCACATTTGTTCCAGAAGAGTGGCTAGGGGATTGACACATGGGTTGATTTCACTGCACTATACGATGGGTTGGAGAGGAATGAGGGGGAAGGCTGGTGAGCGGAGAGATGCAAGGGCAAATGATACTTCCCGGTTACCAGGCCGAAGAAGGGCGTTTAGTTGAGGTACCACACCTTGAGCCTTTGACTCAAAATTCTGACCCACTAGGCAGTGAGAAGATATAAGGTTTTGTTCGGGTGCCCTGCCCCCAGCCTCTGATTCGAAAGTCTGGACCGCGAGACAGCGGTTGTTTGGGTTTTCTCGGGGGACCCTACCCGGAGCCAATTACTCAATAGTAGTTGAGGTACACACCTTGAGCCTTTGACTCAAAATTCTGACCCACTAGGCAGTGAGAAGATATAAGGTTTTGTTCGGGTGCCCTGCCCCCAGCCTCTGATTCGAAAGTCTGGACCGCGAGACAGCGGTTGTTTGGGTTTTCTCGGGGGACCCTACCCGGAGCCAATTACTCAATAGTCTGACTTACTTGGATGTAGGACGCCGGCCTGGCCTGAGGACGCAGGGAGTAATGCATAACTGTCTCACTCACGATGAGGCTACTTGCAGCAGGTGCTTTTTGAGCAGCACCGGGCTATTTGGTTTTAAGAGTATTTTGACCATATTCACTAATGCCCGGCGTTCACGGTCAAATGTTGAGCAATCGGAGTGTGCGTTTCTTGAGGCTGACCTTTATTAACCCGTCCTTTCTCGGGGGAAGGCAGCATCGCTGCTTCCATTATTATGGACATGCTGGTTGCCTTGGGGAAACACCTTTCTGCCTTCGCACTCCTATCGCAGCAAACAGTAAGACTTTACCTCCAGACTGCCTCGTAATGTGATTACTCGCAGTACGGTGACTCGCTGTTCTTCGTTGGGCTGCTCCTGGTATGGTTGCATCTTGTAAAATTAAGTTCCAGCCATTACAGCCCGCAGGATCATTGGAGCACAGAAGCAAGACCACCACGTCAAGATGGTAGCTTTAGGTCGGGACGAGAGATTTCGTCTCACCGAACACACCAAATGTGCTGTCCATTTAATTTATAATCATACTGTGTTGCTCATTTTACTTAGGGTATCTTAAGGGTAGTTTGTCGGACTTTATATCTCATCCACGTAATATACTAACAACTCGTCTGAATTCACCGGCGCAGATCGCGGAGCAGCGACGTAAAAAAACATTGCCGACACTGAACAGAAGCGGGTCAGGTTGTGCTTGTGGGTTGATATTGGGACCCATTTTGGTGCATACCGGTTGCATATTACTTTGACAAACCAAAGATAATGATTAAACTTCACCAGCCTTTTGCGGTGTGGAAGGCCGAATGTTAAAATAAGGGCTTCCCGAACTCTTAAAGTAAGCGTAAGAACAAGAATGTTGGAAACTACCCGATGTGAGCTGGCAGTGGCTACGGCATAATGATAAAAGTAACAAAGAGCAAAAAACTTGGGGTGCCCGAACTTTTTGAAATCTGACTAAGTTTCTTCCGGTGAAATTCCAATCCTGTGGCTCGACAGTTGCCAAGGTCAGCGACCAATTAGAGAAAAGTTCTGAATTTATTGTCTAAGTGGTGTTTCCCTCGTCATTATTGGCATCGTGATACAGTGATTCTTATCAGGATGGTCTCCATTCGATGGTATTTGAAATAATTATCATGCTGTTTGGAGAGTGAATTGAATAGAAAGATTTATATTTGACTGAAAATGGATATCTAAAGTTAGGGGGGAAGCAGGTAAATAATCTCCAAACTCGGTCAAAAGTGACAGAGCACAGTCAGCTACGGTAAACAATTTGCTGCAAACACATGACTAGCTGACCGATGGTTATTTCTAGTTTTGTATCTGAACAAAAACCACATGGAAGATAGTGTGAGACATTTACGGTGTTCTTATTGACAAACAAGGTACAATTTCCAGCTTTAATCGACCTTTGTTCTTGGTATTGTGTACAGCTAGCCTGAATCCGTTAAATTGTCCTCCATTGTGTTTTTTGAACTACCATACAAGGTCCACAGGAAGCTTGCCAGATCTTGCTTCATTTAGTGTACAAGCGTCTGTGATAGGGTTAATAGAATATCTAAATGCTGCCATATGTATCTACAAGCGGACGTTTGCAGTCCGTGAATAAACGGTTTTTCTTTGTGTTCGGCAGTAATGACCTCTCTCTTTTGTCGGTACTGTTCACTCTAGGGCGCCTCTGGGATGTAGGTTCACCTTTATCCATCTTCTTGACTATGGTACCAAGTCACAGATAACGGGTTTCCGCATACAGGTCTGTTAAACCTACAAGCCACTGTCTAGAACGTGATCAACGTTACAAGCTTAACGGAGAAATCTTGATACTGAATACCAAGTACACGAGCATGTCATCTGGGAAAGCATATGTACCGGTTATATTGGCCATCGTTATCATCATCGACAGCATGACACCAGTGTTCAACATCAACGCTGTACTGCCGTACAACCATGACTAGGTATCATGGTTGTAGGTGGGCTGGGATACTGTCAAGGCGTTTACACCTGGACGATTAGGGTCCTCAACGGAAGCCTTTGGCTTAAAAGCCCAATCACAAGGCAGTGAGTGGTGTTGGGCCGGGAATCCAAGCACACTACAATTTTTACGGAACACGTTGCTACGCATGTTCCAACCCCCAACCTAGAGGCCCAGGAGACTGTGTTCTTCAGACCTCTAACCAGTGACCAGTCTGGTACGAGAGACTGTGAGTGTCGCATGGACATCCCTCAGCGTAGCTCAATGGGCCACTGAGGTGCGCAAACCGTCGCATCTTGGTAAGGTCCAGTCTCTTCGTGACGGGGTTATATCAGTGCAATGAGTCAGTTAGGCCTAATTGCAAATTCAGCATCAAGACACTCTTGAAAAACTTTGGACAGCAGAGATTCCGTATTTGTTTCGTAAGCGTTATATTCTGTTCGTCATTAAGCTGTCCGGTTTTTGAAGTTTGGTCGAATTCTACTTCCAAAATATATTTAATCTGACTGGTACATTTTCCACATTCCTCATCTGGGCGCCAGTAAATTCAACGTGTCACTCATGTAGCCAGTCACCTTATACGCGCGATTCACAATATAAATAAGTCCACAGTTTTCTTGGAGTCTCGAACGCCACTCCTGTCTGGGCTTCGACTACTGGCCGTAGTTGAGTAACATACTTTTCTGGGTCAGTCTACGGGAATAATGGCGAAACGCATTCCCTCAGATTAACACTGTGAACTGAAACACTGAAAACCATAGCAGAATCACCGCACGTTTGAGCACATATCCTCAGATTCTGATGAAATCTGGACTATCAATGGAAGAATTACAATAACCCGAAATGGTAACGTAGTGTTACAGAATCGTGCAGGCTGCACGAAGACAAACTTATCTCAGTCTGTGACTCGTCAATAAACGCTCGAGAGGAGCCACAGCACCGAAGATTGACAGATTCAGACCCAGTTTGCTTCATCCATTTAAGGTATCCCCAAGTTAACTACTGTGTGTTTATGCTCGCAAGACCTATGAATATTAGTAGCAGGCATTCATTCAGTCGCGACTCCGCAAGACATCCTTGTATGCAAGTTCAGTGCCTTGTTTTTCCTGTTAGAACAATTGTTCTTATTCGACTTTTCATGGTTGTTTCGAATTCCCACATATCACTACGACGACTCAGAGTCAGAAAGCCCGTACCGGCAGTTTGGGTTCACTTGCTCTTTTATATGATGTTTGCTTACCACGCCTCAAAATTGTCTCGTATATCGTAAAGGTAAAACTAAGAGAAGTTGCTGTGATCTGTTTCACTTAATTCAATTTGATTCTTGGTGTAATCCGATCCTTGTGATTTCCGAGCTCAAATATTTTTCTTCCAAGTTGCCAACGGCCTTTGAACACCTGTTGAAAGTGAGAATTGGTTCACTTGATTTACAAGCTGGTCAGAGACAACAATCGGTTCAGTGTAGTTGAATCAGTTGTTTCAGTGAGAGTTTACACCGTCACAAAACCAAGCGTTCGCATAGCTAAATATGAATCGGATCAGGTATGGTTTCCAGGATCCTGAACCATGCTGTATTCCCTCTTCTTGGCCTGTAGTTTGATTCCTCGCCCAATGAAGACTACAAACCCGCTTATAACCGACATAGTGATGAACCTAAACTCAAGAAAACTGGAAAGTCATTCAAAATCGTTCAGACATCACCATAAGGAAAAGTAACCAATGAGGTTGGCAAAACGGGGCCAGTTTGCCTGGAGTGTAGCATCTGGCGAGTGAGTGACAAAAAGATATATTTGTAGAGGCTCAAAAATAATTGAAGGCCAGAGTGAAAGTATAAATTAAGTAAGCAGTAACTTGAACAGAATTTTACCATTCAGCTGGTTAAGTGTACTCAGAAGCCATCTCCATAAAGTCTCTAAGTCTAGAGTTCAGAAGGAACGTGACGACCGGTGGTTACAAACTTCGGAATCTAGAGCAGGATTTTCAAAAAAACTAGACTGCATTTTTCAGACAAATGGAATTAAAGGCTACTGACTAGCTGACGTAAAACGCTATTGTTCAGGATGGAAGTGGCGTTCATTTTGTTTCTTTTTGTGAACTTCTGTAACAGTCCAGTTGTTCTGAGTTCTAAATACAGCTCGTTAAAAATCATATGGACACTGCAAAGTCTTGGCGTTTTTTCACTGCATTGAGGCTGGTTTCTGTACAGTATTGAAATAGGTCGCAAACTATAGAATGAAATTCCTCCTTCGTAAGAAGAAAGCTAGAAGCGGAATGGAATAAGCAACTAAAAACCCATCGAGTTTCTCGATCTGTACCTTTCCTGACTCCTGTTAAAGGGCAGTTATCCGAGAGACGTCCGGTCAATAAACAGTGTTCAGTCTAGCTTGGTCAGGATATCTTCAAGACATGCAATAGTTAACGGGTTGACTCTTTCACTCAAAATCGGTTCCGATCGTACCAGAAGGATGACCATGCTCACGACGGTTGCAGGGAAGGCTTTCTGTATACAATCATGAACTGGGTCGACGAATAAATATCGCTTTACCTGGTAGCATATGTGGGATGTTGCGTCAACGGAAAGTCCCATTATGTACTACTTTCGGATAGGTTGAATCATGAGCTGTAGCTGGTCTAAATAGGATACCGTCAAAACAAACACTACACTCTGTTTGCACCTGAACGCGAATCAACTGCGAATTGAACTCTGACTTATCAATCGCTCTAGTATAGTGTTACGCAGCTTCGTAGTATCTCAGACTCACGCTCCTCTCGGATAGCACGCCATATATGCCCCGAAAGTGTGCCAAAACTGGACGACTTCTGTCTCAAAAAAACGAGTGCTGGTAGCCATTATTCCCAAGCGAATAGTTTGTCGAGTTTTTAAAGACTAACTGTGCTACATAAAACATCATCAGCAAAACGAGTAGCGGATTTTTCAGATGGTGATCAGTGTTATTTTTGTGAGTGAAATGGGATAATGTTCCAGGTATCGAGAATAACATCTTATCGGCGGGTCATGTTACTAGGATATTGTTCATTGCAGCTTGCGCAAGAGTTGGCTTGGTTTGTCTGCAAGGAATCAGTGTGGTCAATCCCTGATGTTTCAAGGTAACCCGTAACCGGGCACGAACATTGCGGTCATCAGTGTCTCACAACACACCCTTCACTCTGGTTAGAATAGGATAAAGTACGGTACAGTACAATCATTTGCGTGAGTAAACTTTTAACCAATTAGTGGAGTCAACGGTCGACATGAATAAGTGGGTAGCTACAATTTCTGATCGCAAATCCCATTTGGTTGTACAATTGTTCGGTTTGTGTTGATATGACTTCTTGAATCGCTTATACATCAAGCTTTCTTTGCTCTTTATCTACCGTTCAAAAGTTCACAAGATATCAGACTGGTTTGGGTGTGCTCCGTGACCTTACTTCCACCGAACGGTACGTCCGTTTCGAGCTGCCTTTGAATCCAGTTGATCTTGAAGGTAAATTCAAATAGTTTACGCCGATAATGATGTTTACACACTCTTAGGTCTTGACCCAATAGAATACCTGGTCAAGTACTGCCGAATATCTGATGCTCTGGACATAATTTACTCCCACATGTATACGACGCTCAAATCAGCCGGTAAGGACAACAGCGAGGTAAGAACTACCTTGAATTTTGTTGCGTTCTATCCACTTGGATTGCTCTTGGAATATTTTCGAAATCTTCAATTACTTTTTCGTCATTCTTTAAGAAAGATAAAGTTATCCCAATATCATGCTTTTTTGACAGACAAAATTAGAATAGCCCATTCGTTGCCCATTTGGTGCGATAATATCACAAAAGGAGCCATTGACGTCGTATCTAAATACCGAACCCAGGTTTTGTTTGAAATACGAAGTCCCTTAAATCCGCTTCGTTAGGACAAAAGCGAGAGAGATGTTGCAGACCGATAACATTTCAATTTTATATGGCAGTTAGGATTGTATACAACATAATCACGATAAAGACATCGAGTTCCAGACAGTCGGTTGTAGTCACATAGAAAAAATAGTCATGTCCCATGATCACTGTGACTAAAATGGTTGAACCAAAGCCTCTTTTATAGGGAACTAGCTGCCAAATCTTGACAGAATATCGCAAACTAATGTCCAAATCTTTTGCCCGCCGACATCAAGAAAGACTATGAACACTATTTTGGGACTAGTAGTGATCAGGCGCAAGACCTTCGTCATAACTTGAGTTTTGCGTTTTTGCTGGAACATGCAATTTCGTATCCTTTAGTAAGTGTATTCGGAGACCGGTTTAGCTGGTTGCCTTTCTGTTCTACATGTGACTTCATCCTTAAATGAAGTGGTAAAGCTCGCGCGATACAGAATTTCCATGTAAGCTGGGCTCACACTGCTCTCAACAAGTCCTCGAGTTAATGAAGGTAAAAGGAAGCGAGCAAGCTTACGCTAATTGTAGATACATTTTGTGAATCGAACCGTACACAATATAATCATCCTTGTGCAAAGTTTGAAGAAAGAACTCTTTTTGAGTGCTTAAAATACATAGCTAACTTTGGGCTTGAAGTTAGAGTACACGCTGATGTCATTCTTTCATGACTGCTTGGGAGACGTTTAGTGTTGAGTATACATTGCGGTGAGCTCCTTGTACAATTATTATTAGTGGGCTAGTACAAGGTTTTCACGGGTCTACTTCTATACGCAGTTCGGACAAAACTCAGAAGCGTATTTTTCGTTGCTATACGGTGGACCGAATGTTTCAGCATGCCATTAGAGAGTGTCTTTACCGCGCGAAAAAATAGTGGATTACTCAAGGAAAGCCAAATACTGAATTCACAGACCAAGAAGCAAGGAACTGCTTAGAGTCGGATCAACAAAAGTCACAATTCGGAACCCAGTGAGGTCAACGTCAGGGACCACTCCGGCTTCGATCAGAGCACCAGAGCAGGGGAGGCCAGGCTCACAATTCACGTGATCATCGATCAATCAGGACACAGGATAGCAGAACAATCAACGGAACCGACCGACCGAACAACCAATCGTGATCGAAGATCAACCCCAGCTAGCAGTATGTATATTAACACACCCTCGATAGATGAACTGATCACACTGCATAGGTTGCGCTGGCTTGGCCACGTGCTGCGTATGCCAGTCGACCGGCTTCCTCGAAGGGCTCTTTTCGCACAACCACGTGAAGGATGGAAGAAGGCCAGAGGCGATCAAACAATGACTTGGCAGCAAAGTATAAAAGCCATTACCAGCAAACTCAGCTGCGCTGGTCACCGCCGTCTTCCTGGATGGGAACCCCGAAACGGGCCACATTATTGGCTAGAGACATTGTCAGACATGGCCCAGTCGCGCCCTCAATGGCGCTCGTGCATCCAAGCTATTGCCTTCAATGCATAGCTCCTTTTCCAA